CCCCAAAACCCCAAAACCCCAAAACCCCTTGTTTAAATACATTTATTGAATTCAAATCAAAATGGTATTCATTTCAAGTTATGAGAAATACTTTGCGTTTGCACTTATTTTTGATCTATTGTGCAAGAATGAATTGATACAAGACTATTCATTCGAGCTATTGCTACCTTTTACTGTAATAGTTGTTCTTGGGGTAATACAAGGCGCGATAAGGCCACATGTTTGAGTATGATATGCGATACATTTGGTAAACTACGTCATTCATTCTCAGTTTTGCGGTACTTATTTGATGAGTTGGGTTATAACGGTCATAGAAGCAATTATTGCTGTGATATTAGTTAATGCTGGTGCCTTTTACAACTTATACCCTACAGGGCCTTATGGTGTAGCACACAGAGAAGCCAATTTAAAAGGAGAGACCACTCCTGAAGTATCCATATTTTATCCAATGGATATGAAGCCTTACAAGACAGATAGCTTACAGACGGAAAAGACATCTCCACTTCTTCTAAATGGTATGAACGATATAAAGGGAATCTGAAAGGGATATGAAGGAATACCTCCTCTTTTAATGAGAGATTACTGACTTTTTCCTATGAGAGCAGTGAATAATGCAGAATTAGATCCAGATTTTGTGAATAAGTCTAAGGCTTTGACACCTGTCATAGTTTCACATGATTTGATGCACAATAGGACTTCCTTGTTCACAACTGTGATGCAGATGGTAAGCTACGGATGTATCGTCTACTGCATTAACCACAGTGATGGAACAGCTAGTTATCATTTGGACTCCTCTAAAGAAGGAAGCAAAGAAGTGTTCTATGAACCATATGACAGAATGAAACACAAAGTTACTATGGACAAGTTTAGAGATGGCCAAATCCAACACAGAATGAAGGATATCAACGCTCTCATCAAGTTTATTCAGGAAGAAGCTAAAGAACTTAATATTGACATGTCTAAGCTAGTAGCAATGGGATTCGGAATGGGCGCAATGACATCTATTGAGATGACAAAGGAGCTTGAAGAAGTCAAGGCCTGTGTTGCCATGGATCCATACTACAGTGCAAGAAGTGAGAAGATCCTTTCAGGAGATTATTCTATCTCGAAGCCGTACTTTATTCTTACTAATGAAGATTACCCTGGGAGTCCTTTCATTGCTGATTACGAGCACAAGAAGACGAATGATAAGTTTGTGGAGGAGTCTAACAAGTCTGGAGATGAAGGAAACTACAATCTAACTTTAAAGAATACCAGCCATGTATGTACGGCAGATATCAGCTTGTATTACTCTTCTATCTTCAAGCTCTTCGGCTTGATCCATCCTATTGTTGATGTTTCTGACACCGTCTCTAAAAGCAGAGATCTGATCGTGGCTTTCCTAAGCGAACACGATCTTACCCCAATCAAATCTCTTGAAAAGGTCAAGAAGATTCTTAAGAGAAAGTAAATTTCAACAGGAATTTCTAAAGTTGGGGTTTTGGGGTTTTGGGGTTTTGGGGTTTTGGGG